TAAATATTTAAAAATAAAATTAGACTTGTAAGAGATAGGTCTAAGATGCATAAAACTTACCCAAAGATATTAATCTCGGGCAACATTTAAAAGCTATTATCCATAAAATAATTTATCCCATATGCCTTAAAACTGAAAATAAAAGAATTTTTTTCCTCTTCTTATATAATCAGAAGTGGCGCATTCAAATAACATACCAAATGCTATGTCCAAGCTGATTCTTCACAATTTTTGAAACTCCTCATTTCATACAGAAATAAAATATCTACAGTAGAAAGAAAGGTGCCGATAGAATGGAGAAAGCTGTGCTTCCTAATGTTAAACAGACTACCTTCATGTAACAAAAAGGCACCTTCTCTTCAAAGGAAGAAATATGAAACAACTGAATCATCGAAGGCTAAAAGCAAATCACTTAAAGAAAGTATGTGGGGTATTAATTGGATGGGACTTATTCTCATCTTTTTTGAACTATCATTGCTAATTTAAAAATCACCAGTCTTCCTTAATTGCTGCCTCCAAAGATCGTATCAGATGATACTTTAAAAATTATTTAAAGAATATGGTTAGGTGCTTTTTGATAAGCATGGTACAAAAGTATGCTTCATGAGGTTCAGGGGTTCCTGTAGTAAATCAATGACACATTCTCCAAGTAGTATTTTGCCTTCCCACTATTAACTTCATCTCTTTTCTTTACGCTTATCCAGTGTTTATGCTAGCTACATAGGGGTATCAGTGGAGAAACGGACTTTTAGTTAGGAACTCCAAGTGCAGCCCAGATTCACGATCATCCTTTGCTACACTATGCCAGAGACAAGAGGAATTTCTGTTCTTCTGACCAAGACACTAATGGAATACCCACAAATCAGTCCAAGATAGAAAATAATTTGTATGGATTGTGCTTCACCTCTTGATCAGTTGCTTGTCTGAATGGCTTAGATCTAATTCTACTACTTTTTTTTTTTCCATTCTTGGACAGCTATTGCAAAAAGAGAGCAGAATTTGTGATAAGAAGGTGCTGTGAATTCTCTCCAGAACGTTTGGATGACATTTATCTGTGCTACTGTGACTCCTTGCCTCTTCCATACAGGCAACAAAAAAGCCCTTCCACAGAAGATCTTGTGATTGGGAGTTCCACAGACCAAAACGTGGTGTTCAAGAACGAGTCAAGAGAAGGTAGTCACATAGCATACCTCTGCTGGCAAATACCGTATTTTCCACCAGAAAGAGATGTGATATTTACTGCTTGTCAACTGAACAGCAACTTGCCTCTGCAGTTGTAACCTCCTTCAGCAAGATACACAAGCACAAGGATCAGAGTCAATGACAATGCTGCTAAAATGGCTCGAGGAGAAAAGAAGAGGATGAAGGAATGGTCTCTGCAGGGAGGGGTAGTGCACAGATATGCCAGCAGATACACTGGAGCTCTTGCCTTGCTTCTCCTGGTTGCAGTTCCCTTCCCCCACTGGCTGCGACTCAAACCCTTCTCTCTTGATCTACTCCCCTCCCCCTGAGATTCGCCTTTGAATTATGCAAGCTTTGCACTCCCCAGGGTTTATCTGCCAAAAGGTAGCATGTGGCCCATGGTTTGCATTTTAGTTTAAAATTTTCTATTATAGCAGTCAGATCCTTTCAAAATACTTTACTTCCTTTATTCCCATAGGCAGAAAGAACGGCAGAAAAAAATTGTTCACAGCAGTATGAGAGGATGTAAAAGTTCTACATTTTCAGTTTAAAAAAAAGAAAGGTGGAATATGGTTTTAATCAAGTAGTTTTCCTTCCTAGACGAGTGCTTCCTTCTTGTAATATATATAACCTGACTGCCTATAAAAATAAAGGTGCCAGTTGGAGCCATTTAGGAGACCTAAGGAAATTCTGCATTAACCTAAACTCCTCCACTCCTCAGTTCCTTCCACTATTATTCTGTGTGTGGCCTCTCCTGATGAGTTAAGTCACCAATATCCATACACTTATCTGTGAAGATATTTCAGAAACACATGCATCATAGGCTTCTCATTACTGATGTGGTCCAGGCTTAGCATAGACTATCTATGTGGAGAAACTGCCATAGTTTAAGCACATGCTATTATTTCCATATGATACCTAAAAGCCTGAGTAACTTGCAACTCTCAGAGTATAATGAATCTTCTCCTTGTTTTAGGTTTGCAAATAAAAATATATTTTCTGCTATAACTGTCAAGATTTAAAGACCCAAACCCTGAACTTTATTGAGAGGAGAAAGCCAAAAGCATCCTTCTTGAAACCAAGAAATCCAGAACAAAATTTCCGGTTTAACAGTTGCCTAATAAACAGATACTAAATCTGAGGTGTCGTGCCTGCCTAAAAATGCTGTTAATTGTCCAGATCAGAAAGTCATTTGGCCTCTAACCAGGAATTTGGTGGAGAAAAGAAGAAATATTTTCTGGCAAGCTGACTGAAGGAGAAAAATAAATGCTGATTGAAGCTGCGCGGCAGTACAGAACGTTAGCACGGGTCCTCAGGGAGATGGATTAGTAAGCAGGAAGAAGGTGAGGCTGTCAAAGGTGCATGATAAATTCATTTAGCACATAGATATAGAATGATTATGCACACAGATATACACACAAACAGATTTTTTATTACTTTCATCTTTACTAATAAGTAAAAACGGAATAACTCACCATTGGTGATGAGTCATTAAATCTCTGCACTGTCAATATCATATCAGAGCTGATCACATGTACCATTTCAAATTACATAAACCCATTTACATAATGAAAAGATATGCTTTACAAAATATGTGTAAAAAGCAAGGGACACCTAACTAAACAGGAATCCTTCTACTGTTTTACTGACCTGCTTATAAATACTAAATAAAAATATTCCATTGGACCAATCTTCAAGTAACTCAGAATGAAAGTGCTACAAGATACCATCGATTCTGCTGCCTGCATTCATCAGCATGTACTTTTGACACCACCAGTAGTGTTTCGAAATTCTGCTGCTGCTAAGCTACTCCATTATTATGAACTCAACAACACTGCTATTCTCCCTCGCTTGTTTTCATTTTTATACGCCACTCAGTTCAGGCAGCATAGAACAACTCCAAAATAAGAAACATTGTAGTAAAGTACAATAAAAACATGACAAATTCAAAAGATTTGGTAACAAACTATATTAATATATTTATAGAAGTACAAAGTGAATGCCTCTCTAACTGAGATGATCCACACTTCCAGACAGATTTGTAACTTCCCTGGTCTTAAATTACTTTTTTTTCAGGCTACTACACAAGTAGAACAGATCACAGTTAAACTAATAGAACTGTTTTACAAAAATTAAAAACTACATTAAAATGGTGTGTGGCAGACCGCTATTTTGATTAGTATTACTTCAATTATTAGTTTCATAAATGATAGTTCAATGACGGTTCATTTTATACCAAAATTAAGAACAAATTACACACAACGCCCAGTCTATTTTTCAGCTCACACTTAAACCTGGCACTTCAAGAGTCTAATAAATACTCTTACAAGGTGAGAATATTTCTTTGTCAGTGTACAGTGGATAAACATTATCAATGAAATGAAAACATGACAGGGTGAACATCTAGTACCCTTGGGTCAATAACTGTTTCAAACCCAGGTGATGACATATTTTCTTAAAAGCCAAGTGTTCCAGTATCTTTTTTCCTTAGCTCAATTAAATGTATTTATGTGCAACATCTATATTTTAGCTCAAAGTGGACCAAGATGCGGTCTGCAGACTGATGGCAACCCACGTAATGACATCCAGCCATCACTTTTGGTACTTAAGCCAGTCCTTGCGTGCCCCTACATGCCCTGCATACCCCCAAGCCTTTCCACTGCAACCACAAGCCAGCTACAACCCACAGTGTTGCTATGGTGTGGCTTTCTCTACAGAGGCTGTCAAGGTGCCCCAAACAGTCAGATGGCCAGTACGTACAGAGAAAACAGTATTCTTTAAAATAATAATTGTTTATTTCTCAGACCTTCTTTCAATAAGCAATAAATAACAAAAACTTCAATTAGGATTAGCCTAGAATTCTACAGTGAACTTCAAAGTTAATATTTGTAAGCAGAAAGGTCTTCATTCTTGTTTTCATTCAGTTCACACATATATTCCCTGTTGGTATACATGTAGCCACCTTTTAAATAAAACTGTTCATAGCATTCACATTACTTTGTTCTCAGGGACTCAGAATATTTTATAGCAAAGTACCAGTTACATTTATTCTATAATTAATATACTTGCAGCTATATTTGATACCAATGTATTGTCTGAACAGAGGACGTAAACCCGATCAAAAATTTGTTTTAATCACCCGCCCCACCCTGCCCTTTTTTTTTTTTCCCCAACAGCTGTTTAGCTGGAGTAGGGAGGAGTCTTTAAGCCCACAATATCCTCAGGGATACTTTAGCAAATAGATTTTTCTGAATGGTGCTGAGTCCGAGTGAGACTACTGATCTTTCCAATGTTTAAATATTTACTTTTGCATATGAAAAATACAGGACAAGTTATTATTAATTTGCTAGCAAGCCAAATACAAATATGGAAGTTACAAAACTATGGTGTTTGATGTGTACTACATATGCAGGATTGCATTAAAAGAGAACTGTTAAAACTGCAAAAGTAAATTCAAAAGTGCAAGCCAAATCAAGGTTGCTCACTGTCTTCTGCCATTAAGATCCAGTATTAGTGAACAAAATGATTGCCCTCAGCAACTGAAGCAGTCCTTGAACATTTTTTATATTGGCATCCAGTTTGTGCTGAATCCAGGTGCACAAAGTTTAAGAACAACTTGCACGCTTGTTCCCTTAATTCCATATGCTGTGATGACTGGTTCAGGCACCTTGCATTTGACTGGCCTGTAGCCAAACCACAAGAGAATGCAAAGATTTGAACATTTGCTGGTAGCCTTGAACAATGTGGAGTCCTTACACTCTCAACACTGCAGTGGTTAACAACGATTTTCCTTTCCTATATTTAAAGTATAAACTTACCTCTCTCAATATGGAATCCGTTATTGAACTTAAATTAACAGCTCCTTCGTAAGTCAAATAGTAGAATACATTCAGGGACCTAACAGCCTCTGGCCCTTGCTGTTTGTAGCCAAAAATCAGATCAATCCACTGGTGAAGCTGGCAGGAAACAAACTCACTTTCTAATGCCTGTGAAAAAACCACACACAAAATATATAAACTTGAGTTTGACACACAGAAACGTTTTTTTAATAGCGTACAAAATCATCTTAACAAGTCTAAATACAGAATTGATAACAGTATTTTAGACATCCTATCCAAAAAAAAAGGTGGGCCCTGTGATAGATGCCAGAGTCTCATGCCCTACTCTACTTGCCGCTGACCAGAGGACCTTGCTTTTTAAACTATAATAGTGGGAATAAGAAAAGCAGTAAGTGGAAAGCACTTACGCATTTATGGACAGCCAGGCTATGTTTTTATGAACTCTCAAGATGAAATTGTGCTTTTTTGTGTGATCTGCACAGTGAACAATAACAGCATGATAATCTGATTCTGACAGACAGAAGATTGATAGACTTGGGGAAACTGAACTAACTAGGGATGTTGGGATACAAATTATTTAACATGCTGGAATATCAACTTGCTATTACTTTTATGCATTTCTTGTATATCTCTCTTACACAAATCTATACAGAAACAGTACTATGCTGAATGAATAAGCCAGTTTTCTGAAGATGTTATCCAGCTACAACCCAATCCCCAAGACAAAAGCATCCAAACAATAATGAATCTCTCCACAATGGTATTAGATACAGCACAAATATATTAAAAGATAACTTAAAAATCATTGTCATCTAAAGAGTTAATTCATCTAGATTAAATCACTAGCAGGATTTTTCTCTATTTCATACAGAGGAGTCAATATACGTCTTATTTGAATGAGCAAATGAAACAACGTAAAAAAGTCCGATATTCTCTTCATCTAATGAAACAAATGGCATTTTCCTTGTAAAGGAAATTCCTAATTTTGAGCAGAGGAAGTTAAAATTAATCTGAAAACCAAGGAAATCACTCTGCAATTTGCACACAAAAATGATGGGTTTGTTTCATTAACCGATGCCTGAAAACAACATTTAAATTGACACATAAAAACAGCAATTGTCTTAATTTGTGTGGTGCACTCCACACAAAAGCCCTAAATATGTTCAAATTAGAGCAAGCTGCTTGATTGTCACTGCAGTCTCATGTCATATTAATGCATGACAAACATTAAACCATACACTTAAATGGCAATTTATATCATTTAAATGTTTACTGCCACACCAGATCATCACTCATTTAAATGTGACTTTCTGACAGCTAATTTCAGTTAATTTTCCTCGATTCACTTAATTAGAACTTTCAATCAAGAAAAGACCTGTACATATCTTCAACATCATATCATTCTTTTTTTCATTATTATTTTTATTAGGATTCCCAGCTACTGAATTGCTGAAAGCATTTTTTAAAATGAATTACCACACAGTATAGTATCTCTTTGGATGATCATATGGAAATACCTTACTACATACATGCTTAGACAGGATTTTTTCTTTCTTACTTTTTTCTTTTTTTTTTTAAATTAAAAATACCCCAACATTTAGACACAGACACGCAATTAAAACTATAAAAAAACACAAGCGGGCCAATTAAAAATTAATGATTTCAAAATTGTTTAATAAGATAAAACCAGTCAGGAGTCTCATGAGTGTCCATAATACTACAATGTGCAGCCATAAAATTCTACAGGGCTCAGCAAATGACAATGATAGGAATTAATTTTCTTGCTATCCTGCTAAAAAAAAATTAACCCTAGAATATACTTACTGTTATCAAAATAACTATGTCAGGAAAAATAGCATTAAGAACTTGTGATTTTTTTTTTTTATATATATATATTTCGTATGTGCAGAGGTTGTTCATATTTTCCTTTTCTTCAAAAGCTAGATTTTTAATGGGTCATATTACCCTCACAAAGCATTTGGACATGAATAACTAAAGGAATATCACTCTGCAATCTCCTCAGATTAACAGATATATAAATCTGACTTTTTCTTAAAAAAGCAAAACTAAAACACAGTCTTTGCCTTTTCATGGAACGGTTGGGAGCCATGCTGAATTTACTTCTCTCTTTCAAGTTTAAAATTATTTTACACTTGTATACAGATTCAAAAGTAGATAATTTTCTTTTAATTTTTTCCACATTAGGCCATTTTAAATCTTCTTTCTTATTTGCCAAATCAGAAATAAAAGGGCTAAATGAAAAATGACTACAGTCCGCATCAATACCCAGGACCCTGAAGGACAGACCAAACATAGCACACAAATTCAAAGGCTAAATAAGCTTGCCTGTCATTTCAGGTTCACAGTTAAGCTCTTGGTTGGAGGGAAGTGCTTATGCTATGACACAATCAATGGAGGAACAATAGTTAACAGTCTGTAAAATGATTAAAAAATAAAGTAGACTTTAAAGGAAAACAACACAATCTACCAGTATGTGTGATGCACTTTATAGCCACACAGTTACGTATTATTTAAGTATGGGTACTCCTTAAAAAAAAAAATCTGAGAAGTGAAGAAGTTCCAATTTGCATAACTATTCAGTTTTTAAAAGGCTTTTTTTAAAAAAAAATGTTACTGTTAGCATTTACCTCTTGCAAAACTAAACGAAGGGTATAGATGGCTAAGCATTTAGGATTACTTAAGCATCTAGGACAGCCAGTGCTCATTAAGGCTCAAGTTAAATACGGCATGCAGCGATGGGATACTAACATCCTTCCCATGCTGCTCTTAAAGCAAACCAATCAATTGTTAGTGCTCCCACAGCAGACCAAGTACATCATTTACTGCGTGCTCTGAGGAAAATGTGCAAAACAAGAAAATCCTCTAAAATGTCCAGCATAATACAGTAATATTCAATCCTACTGAGTTATTGTAAAATAAATCAGTGACTAATGCCCAATTGTTAAAGGATCAAACAAGACCATGAAAAGACCGTCACGTGAAGCCACACACAAATTGTCAATTCTGTCCACAGGGACTCATATTAACTTTGACAAACTGTCTTGGGGCTGATATCTGTTTCTTTAATGAGATCTATTAGGCAGAGACTAAAACACTTGAGATATGCTAAGAAGTACAGTATACAGATGTCAAACACAAACACCTATTAGTAACTTCCATTTCTCCGTTCCCAAGGTAGAAACACTTCAGACACATCAACAAATTGAAGCTTTGATCTTACAAGGAAATTTTAGTTTATTCATAAATATTTTTCAAATGCATGATCTGATGTCACTAAGTATATGCAATCAAAACTACTTCTTCATGAGTGACTCTGAAATGCATTATTTTATGTGCATCTTTTCCTGCCCTGTTTTCTGAAAGGAATGAATGGAGAATAATTTCCTGCTAGCAGCCGAAGATTAAGATCAGTCTAATACTGATACAAATGACTTGGTAAAACATGGTCGGAACAACAAAACCATAAAACTAGCACGTTAAGAAAGATTTTTCCTTTTTCCAGTATAAATACTCTAACCATTTATTATGATATATTTTCCCAAACAATATTATACCCTTGGAATCAAGAGTTGTATCTTTAAAGGGACTACTATTGGCTTTTGCCCTCTACTTTTATTTCTGGTTTAGATTATGTAATGACATATAGCATACGAAATGATGTCTATTAAAAATGAATATATACTTGTGCTTGAGATTGGGATGTTCCAATGCTGAAATCAGATGAAAAGATTAACTGTATTTCTTTTCACCAGCATAGATATTTATTCATAATCAAGCTATTCAAAAACAGACCACAGACTTGCTTGCCTTATTCCTATGCTGATTAAAGCAAAGTAATCTTGAAGCACAGCATAAACCATGCATGTAACTCTTATTTGAAAGACAGAAAAGAAGTCCAACCTATACAAAATGTGTTTTATATAGTCAAAATGAAAGTAGAAACTTTGATGAGAAACCAAAACTGCTACTCATACATGAATAATCTTTCCTATTCACTCAATTAAAAAAAAAAAAAAACAAACAAAAAACAAAAACCCCAGGAATATACTACATCAGCAAGTAAGAAATTACAAATCTCAAGTACACATAATTGCCTGTTACCTTTAATGGGCTAAATATTTTAATTCCTCTTTGAAGTAAGGAATTCCTTTGAAACACTTAAAATAATTGAGTCTGGTTTTTTACGTTCCATTTGAAAAATATTTATGTATGAACAGAAAAGCATGGATTAGGATTTCACACATTTTTAGCACAAACACAATTTTGATGTAAAAAATACTCTTCTTGAACACGGCAAAGCACCCTCACAACTGCAGTACCAGGTAACTCCTTTAAACTAAGTGCATATTCTGGCTTGGAAGTATGTGCGTGCACGTACATTTAAAAAAAAACCCAAGACCAACAAAACCAAACAACTGGAATTATGTTTGCATGTGCAGGCTTTCAGACACAAGTTGGTAATGCTGCCTTAACATTGATATATGACCTTTGTAAGTTACAATGAAGAAGGCTGGTTTTTTCAGCCTAATTAGAACTGTTTCAAATTTTCCTGCTAAATATATGATAGAAAGTCCTTTCAACTTTTTTTTTTTATTCTAGAGTTTCTTTCCATGTCAACCTTGTTCCAATCAAAATATGTTTTGAATTAAATTATTTTGATTCAATATGTGGATCACATTTCACTTCTAAGATTTAAAGTCCAAAAAGGAAAAGTTTAGGCTGTTCAAACAAAGCAAAAGCAGCCACTTTGCGGAAAGCTATTCACATTTACCAAGACTGACAAATTGTTTGTGTGCACCATTAGGTCTAGTTTCTGCAATAGTTGCCAGATTTCCTGTCCTCCTAATAACATATTAACTCTTGAAGTGCTGGCTTTATCTTTTGAGGTTTCTCAGTAACCACTAGTATTTAAAAGTATATTACCAAACACACTTTCACCAGCAACACTATGTGATCACATGGGTAGACATCCGAGGAAAAAAAAAAAGTATAAAAAGCTATTTGAAAGATATTGAACTCAAGCCTGCCTTGAAGATATCAGGAGGAGGAGGAGGAAGAGGACAGCAGCCATACTAAGGAGAAAACTCTGAGTTCTGCATGAGGTAATACAAATTTCAAAAGGATGA